ATCAGTTTCTCTTCATTCTGAATGTGACAGGGAGGATTTTCTATTTGTCTGTAACTTTGATTCTTATATTTTCTGATGTTTATGTAGCACTCTGTAACTTTGTTTAGATGACTGCTTTACAAATACAGTTATTATCATTATGATGGGTTTTCTCTAAAGTATCTTTGTGAATTGTATCTGAGGCTCAAACTGAACACTTCTCTCTCTCACGTCAGACCCACATTTCTCTTTCATTGCTCGTTTGGTGACCATTGGTTGAACACTGGTTTTCAGAATGCATTGTGGGATATGGAGTCCACTGTGTGAGGTTTAATTACTGTTAGTAAAGTCAATGTACGTATTTATGTCTGGATCTTTTCAAAGAAATTCACACACTCGTCCACTGATGATTGATTTGATGTTGGGAGAGAGGACACCTGAGGAGACCCAGCAAGCTAATGTTAGCGTGTTAGCACCGACCCACCGTCTCTGATGGTGTTTAAAGAACATGAATGATCTTCAGGAGCCGCTCAGACAGACGCTTCCTGCTGCTCGACCACAGGAAGTGACAGAGCAGCAGAAACTAAATCCTCTGTGTCTGTTTCCACTCAGAGGAAACTGAAGCCACATGTGGTGAATCCATTCACTCAGACTGTAACCATAGCAACGAGTTCTGTTTAATATTGACTGTGGATATTAAACCTGTCTCTGGAGCCACAGTCTGTTCCAAGATAAACTGAGAAGAAGAAGATAATGAAGATGAAGATGAAGAAGAAGATGATGAAGAAGTTAAAGAAGATAAAGAAGATAAAGAAGATAAAGAAGATATAGAAGATAAAGAAGACGATGAAGAAGAAGAAGTTAAAGAAGATGATAAAGAAGAAGAAATTAAAGAAGAAGAAGAAGATGAAGAAGATGATGAAGAAGAAGAAGTTAAAGAAGATGATAAAGAAGAAGAAATTAAAGAAGAAGAAGAAGAAATTAAAGAAGATGAAGAAGAAATTAAAGAAGATGAAGAAGAAGAAGAAATTAAAGAAGATGAAGATGAAGAAGAAGAAGCTCAGACCGTTTCCTCCAGGCCGCCAGGGGGCGACAGAGCAGCTCAGCGACAGCGGATCCATCCTGTGTTGACATGTAGCGGAGTTAGCATTAGCTTGTGCTGTGCGGTAAGATGAACTATAATTAAATCGAATTAAACTAAAGTTAACTTCGAACAGATCTGATGAATCGCTTACATCCGGGTCTGTTCTCTCAAAAAGGACGCTTGGTCCTCCTAGCGTTAGCCTGTTAGCTAATCCACCGAGACCCGAACCATGAAAGAAAAATGCTCATTTAAAGTTTGTTTGATAATTACCATAAAAGGAATTCAGTATCTGATATAAATTAGAACTGCTCGTGAATCTAACATCACCACTATTACATTCGGCTTTGGTGACAAACAGCAGTCATCTGTTATTTAAATAAAAATCAATTGAGCTTGTTTGAATTCACTGACGTGTTTCTCTGAGATTCAGGCAGAAACCAATGAGGTGACCGCTGGTAAAATGTAATAAATGTAAACGGAGTTCTTTATGTGGGAGCGACTCGTTGTTTAAAGTTAATAACGGAAGTTTGTTCGCAGTAAGTTTTGTGAAAGTGATGAAAGTGATGTTGTAACGTTAATGTGATCGTTACTCTACAGACTCGTGTAACTAGTTCATTACGTCACACAGCGCTGACGTTGTGCTTCTGTTCATTTAGGGTCAGAGGTCAAAGGTGAGCTGGTGCAGTCTTCATCATGGTGAAGCAGCAGCGGAGGACAGACAGGTGAGGATGAGGAGGAGCTGCTTCATCCTCACGTCAGCTGACGACCATTAAATCAACTGAAACCCAACGACTGATCACTGATCAGCTCCTCCAGCTCACACAACGTGTTGTTTGTACCCAGACTGACTTTACATGTGTGTGTGTGTGATATTTGTTTATAGTGATCGAGCGCTGACAGTCGTGAGTTGGTCCCGTCACAAACGTGATCACTTTAAGAGGTTTCCACTGGACTAGAATTTTCGAGGCCTGACATATTCGAGCTGCCTCTGACTTCTGAAACGTGTGCAGGGAAGATCATGCCTCAACCTCTTGAACATGTTTTCTCTGTGCTCTCCCTGCAGGAGTTTTCTTCCTGCAGCAGGAAGCAGTGTGGAGCAGGTTCGATTCCATATTGGTCCTGTACAGAGGAGACCGCCGGCGTCGCTGCACCAGGTACATAAAACAACCCGCTGCCGCCCGTCTGCTCTCATGGATCAACTTCACTGTGTTTTTTTGTTTTTTTAAGGGTTCAGGCAGGAAGTGGGCGGGCTCAGGGACAGGAAGTGCTGACAGCTGGCAGCGCTGCAGCAGCTCCACCACCACAGAAGAAGAGAGAGGAAATACACATGGAGACCTGGGACCTGACGGAGGTTCAGGAGAGACAAAGAGGGCGAGACTGGATGGGTCAGTCAGAGACGCTGGCGTCCCCTAGAGGCTACAGAGTTCATTACAAAGAGTTTAAAATAAAACTTCAGATTAGATATAATTTTTTCATTGGTTGCTAATCTATCAATAATCTGTCATGTGTCGAACATTTTTCCTTCAGAATCACAGAGTCGTCTGCTCAGGCCCCGGCGTCATGTGATCAACCAGCCAATGAGAGCAGCTTGACAGGAGGTGAGTTTATCACTTATATACTCTGTAAAGCTGCTTTCACACGTGAGCTCCAGGTAGAATCCAGAGAATCGTCTCCAGAGAATCGTCTCCAGAGTTCATGTTTCACAGCTGAAATACTCAGCAGCAGGTTTTCTGCTCAGACTCGTTCAGCATCAGATCCTCCTCGTTCTTCAGGTGAGAGGTGGAGCAGACAGACAGGAAGTGATCATGTTTTCACCTGACACCGTCGTCAGCTCTTATCACCACAAACTGTCTGTGTCTTCTACGTGTGTGTCAGCACTTTGTCACCAGAGACATTTGTTTGTGTTTCTTGTCATCAGATGGTGTTTCCTGCAGAGTTCCCCCTCTTGACCAGCAGGTGGCAGCAGAGCTTAGTGAGGACAGCAGAGCAGCTGAGGTGAGGTCATGATTCTCAGGTTTTCACTGTGGTGACTTGAGTGACATGTTGTAATGTGTGTGTGTGTGTGTGTGTGTTTGTGTGTAGCTGCAGAGTGTGGGGTCACTAAAGGTCACCATCCAGCGGAGCAGTGAGAGCAGAGAGTTTGGACAGACAGACAGTACGGCAGAGACACAGACAGGTGGACTCCACTGTCACGTCTGTAACCTCACCTGTCGCTCTGTACAGGTGAGAATCAGCTCAACGATCAGTGAGCAGTGTTTTACAAATACCACATCCACAGTGTGTGTGTGTGTGTGTGTGTGTGTGTGTGTGTGTGTGTGTGTGTGTGTG